TGCTGCAGCCCTCAGAAGCGGCGAGGATGGTACAAGCCCAGCAAGCATTCAAGCCCGCGGCCGCCGCAGGCCAAGAAGCAGCAGAAAAGGTGGCCCTGGCCGACCAAGCAGCAGCCGGCGGCGTGCCAGTGCCACGGCCATCGACGACACCTCCGGCGGCAGGCATCCCCGCCGGCCTGCCTCCACAGCTACTGCCCGCCATCCTGGGCCTGCTTTTCCCGCCGCTGGGCGCATCATCGGCCTGCTGCAGCCACTGATCCCGCCGCCGGGGTCGTCTCCGCCTCTCCAAGCCGGCACCGGCACCCAACCGACGGAGTGCATGACGCCGCTGGCTGGCATGCTGCCGTGCACGGACTACCTCACCAACATCACCGTGCTGACGCCCCCGGCGAGTGCTGCGACGGGCTCAGGTCCATCATCAGGGACGCGCCCATCTGCCTCTGCCACGGCATGAACGGCGACATGGACCAGTTCCTGCCCAAACCCGTCGACCGCATCCGCATGATCATCCTCCCGCTCGCCTGCGGCACCATGCTGCCCATCCAGACGCTCTTCGCCTGCAACTGTAAGTCACAATGTCTCGCATTAAGTTACGAGATTCCACAGATTTTACACATGCTTCGATTTCGATCCATCGCAAGAAGATTAATCTGGTGATACATGTTCATATTTGACAGCGCATCAGGTGCCGCCGACAATGCCTCCAACCCCAGCAGAGCCGCCGATGACGCCTCCTTCAGTGTCACCGTAGATGGCAGATGTTTTCGTCGAGTTTTGATGCTGTAGATAGGTTCTTAGTTTTAAGATGGTAGTATTATAGATAGTTCAGAAAGTCATCACAGAGAGTACATGGTGGAGTCATGTAAAAGTTCAGTTGCTTGATGCAATCGTCAATATAATGTGGAGTAGTGAAAAACATATTGAATGGTCAAGGAATTTCTGCCTCAAAGATACCTCGATGTCATGATTTGGTCCGGACTTTTATTTGCTTCTGTGAATCTGTGATTGTATATTTGCAACCATCCCCAATACCGATAATGTCAAAGCTACTGCTCCGAAATTATAATAGGACAGTGTTTTCCTCCTTTTTTCGGAAGATTTTTAACATACCGCAATAGTTTGTCCCTACTTTGGCCCCCTTTTTCTTTCTTGTTGCGACCTTTGTATCAACGGAAGTACTAGCATCCGTAAGTCCAGACAAAAGCGCATGTCCACGGAAAAGACTGCGCCTACCGCGCTTTCCCCCTTGCCCCCTCCTCACTCTCTCCGCGATCGCGATTCCGGACGCTCGCGCGCCCACGGGAAATGCCGCTCCTTCCCCCTGACCCCCTCCTCTATATCTGGGCGGGTGGGACCCGAGAGCCGGCATGAGGACAGGTACGCCCCGTCCGTGGGATCCTAGGTGCGCTGTGCGCCCCGATCGCCGGCCCACGGATCGCCGCGCCCCATCCCCCGGCATCCAGGCCATGCCCCCCATGACGCTCTACCTCTGAAACATGAAACACTTGGATGCAACATACGAATGAAGCAGATGAAATATTTGGAACATACAATTACAACATATGTGTGAAATATATGCAACATCCAAATAAAACACTTGCAAATTGCAACATGAAAAGTTGAAAACACTTATTGCAACATAAGGCTGAAACATTTCGAACATACTCTTGCAACATAGGTGTGAAACATGTGCAACATCCAGATAAAAAAGGCTTGCAACATACGTTTGAAACAAATAAAATATTATGAACAAATGCTTGCAACATGCCTCCGAAACACTTGCAACATATGCAACATCCCGATCTACTTTTGCAGCATCCATACGAAACACCTGCAATATACCTCTGAAACACTTGAAACATATATTTGCAACATATGAGAGGGGAGGTCAGGACCCGTTGATTCTTGCCTCGAGGCGCGCGATGGCACCACAAGCATTAGCAGAGGCAGGCGGCGGTGCTGCGATGACTCCGCCTCCGACGACGAGAACCCGCCGTAGCAGGAGCACTCGGAGGAGCTGGAACGTTGTGGATGAAGACGGCGACAGTGGCGTACATAAAGCGCATCTAGCATGGCTCTGCCCTGCGAGTTCACGCCGCGTCGGCAAAACTCTGGCTCTCGAACTGGGCTGAAAGAAATGGTGCTTGCACGGACGGCTCGATTGAACTCACCGCGTAAATTGAACGGCCGAGAAATACTGGTGATGTGGCCCAATGAACGGCCAGAGCTTGTCTAAGGTTTAGAGAGAAAGAGATTATGTTCTCCTAAAGCCACGTTCGTTTGAAGAGGAACAACTCTAGGAATTATTTCCGATGAACGATCGCTATATAAATCACCGAAGCAATCCTGACCAGAATGATTCCAGGCCACCAAACACCAGGAACCGAACAGGCCCTAAAGCATCTAGAGACGAAATCATCCGAACATGCTCTCCTGAAGACGAAAACTGCCATGACAAAAAAAAAAACTTGAGCACTGTTGTGGAACCATTCTGCTCTACTGTGCTCCACAGCAGCTATCATGGCCTCGATCACTTCATCGTATAAAAGCACTACAACTGCTACTGGCTTCAGGAGCACTCGTTGTTTTATTAGAAGTCTTATAAGTAAATCTCAATAGAGTGGTCAAACTCGACAACTCACGATGCTCCCTCACTGGAAATAGGAGGTGTGCTTGAGCGTTGGTGTGCCTGCACTTCACCGGCGCGCACTGCAGAGCTGTCTCCATAGCAGGGTGGCCGGCAACGCCTGCAACGAGGAGATGATTTGTGGCAACAACAGTCGTTCCATTGCGCAAGATGTATCAGTTGAGCCGACGCCGCTGCAACCGTCCAACTGAATACATTGACCCCATCTTACCTATCAAATACTAGTATACCCTTTGAATTAAATTCAGAGTTAGTTAGTTCCTGATCTATAACTGTGTAATTTTAAAAAAAAAGTTCTAGCCACAACTTAGGTTCCTCTAATTAGAGCATCTCCGACAGTATAAAAAAATACTCATAAAAACATGTTTTCAAACCTTTGCAAAATGTATCGGGAGACATAAAAAAAGCTACAACTCCAAAAGTTTCCAAAATCTGGTGCCGAAAAGATAGAAGGTAATTTTACATCAGTAATCATAAACAATTTCTAAATCACACTAATCAGTTTTATACTTTATTTCTCTATTGTACATTTGCATCAGGAACCTGCCTTACTTTTTTTTCTTCACCACGCCCTTCCGCCTCCAGATTGGCACGACGATATGCGCGTGTAACTTTATGCGCATGGTGTGGTTTTTTTCAAGTGCCCAAAGATTGGGAGGTAGGTTTGGGAGTTGTTGGAGATGAGTTTTTTTTCAATCTTACCAAAATTCCTAAATTGTGAGATTGTTTTGGATACTCTTGGAGATGCTCTTAGGTTCTTTAAATTTTTTAACCTTTGGATCTACATGAATGAATGGCTTTTATTATTTTCAAGCACCGTAATTTTTTTCAATTTGCTAAACGATATTGCATATTGGGAACCCTAAACTATTTCTAACCAACCAAACCTTTATTTAATAATTTTTTTTATCTCTTACCGCTTTCTTATATGGAACTATTTATTTTCTTAATTTACTCATGCGTCTAATTAACCGTTCTCTCGACAAAAACGCTGGAAGAAGCTTTTTTACCAAACTGTTGGAGACTTTTTTACTTTCCTAAAAAAACAAAATAAGGAATTATTTTAGAAAACGAAAATGCTCTCCTCAGGGCGCCCGTCCGTCCGGACACGCCCTTCCCGAGCCTACGGAGCCCAATATACCTGCATCCCTCACGGCTTCTCCATTAAAAAGGAAAAAGAATGAATGTCGATTACCTTTCCTCCTCGCCGTCACGTCCTTCTTCACCGCGCACATGTGATGTCCGCCACGGCCGACTCCACCAAGCCGCCCGCCCGCCGCTCACCTTCTCCAACGCGGGGGACGCTCGCTGCGTCCCACGGGCAACGCAGCCGCACGGCACTATCGCCTCCACCGCGGGGGACCGTACCCGCCCGCCCTATCATCGAGAGCCTCGCAGCCGCTCGCCCGCTAGCATCCTCCCTGTGCCACTCCACGGCATTGAGCTCCGCTTCGACGAGCCTCCATTCGTCCAAGCGGCAAGTGGATGTTGCGCTTGAAAGCACATATTGCAAATGTATGTTTCAAGTGTTTCAGAGGTACGTTGCAAGTGTTTCATATGCATGTTGCAAAGTACATCGCGATGTTGCATATGTTGCAATGGTTGTACACATATTTGCAAGTGTCTGCTCCAAATATTTCATCTATTTTTCAGACGTACGTTGCAAGTGTGTTTATCTAGATATTGCTATGTTTCAAGCATATACTGCTGTTTGGATGCTGCATATGTTTTTGCAATGGCTTTTCATATGTTTTCAGGTGTTTTTGCAAGTGTTTCAGCTGTTTCTGACGTATGTTGCAAGTATTTCATCTGGATATTGCAAAAGTAAATCTGTTGTTGCATATATTGCAATGGCTATACACGTATATTACAAGTATATGTTTCAGCTGTTTTGGACGTATGTTGCAAATATTTTATCTAGATGTTGCATATGTTGCAGTGGCTATACACATATATTGCAAGTGTATGTTCAAAATATTTCATATGTTTTGGATGTATGTTGTAGCAGGTGCTTTCGTGTTACAAGTGTTTTCATTGGTAGGCGAGAGAAGTGGGTGCAGGCGGAGGCGGTCCCTGTGGGCGCGGGAAGCGAAGCTGACGCGGGCGATCCCCATGTGCATTCGCGTAGCTGCAGCAAGCGGGCAATCACGCGTAGGTGTAGCAGCAGGAGGGCACGCCACAGCAGCAGGCGCCGGCGTCCAAACTTTCGGGCGCTAGCACTGCCGTTTACTAAAACTCCAGCCGATGCTCTTGCTATCGTACAATGAAGGTATGACTTCCATATCCGCACATATGATACGCAGTTCATTATTCGTAGACAGTAAACTATTTAGTTGGTTTCAGGACGAGAGACTCAACGTGCTGCAGGCGCTGGCATGTTGGGCGCTTTGACCACCGTGTACCCGCCGTCGACGACCAGATTGTGTCCGTTCACGTACTTGGCCTCGTCGGACGCCAGGTAGAGCGCTGCCCTGGCAATGTCCTCCGCCTCCAGCACGGGCCCGACCATCTCGTGCATGTCCCTTTCGAGGATCCGCCGATGCTCCTCGACGCTCCTATCAGGGAACCACTGCGCCATGGTAGCCATCGCCAGCGGCGTCGGGATGGCGTGCGGGGAGATGGCGTTGACGCGTACCCCGGAGCGCGCCACCTCCGCGGCCACGGCGCGGACGAGGCCGAGGACCGCTGCCTTGGATGCGCTGTACGCTGGCGTTGCCAGGCTGCCCAGCACGGAGGCGGTGCTGGCGGTGCAGATGATGCTGCCGGCGCGGCGCGGGACCATGACGCGCGCAGCGTGCTTCACGCCGGCCAGCACGCCCCGCGCGTTGACGGCCATGACGCGGTCGAAGTCTGCCAGGTCGATGGCACCCAGCGAGGACGCCGCCATGTCGCCGCCGATGCCCGCGTTGTTGAACATCACGTCGAGGCGGCCGTGGAGCTGGACGGCGAGGTCGACGGCCGCGGCGACCTGCGTCTCGTCGGTGACGTCACAGCGGGCGTAGCGCGCGGCGTCGGGGCCCAGCTCCGCCGCGACGGCGCGGCCGAGGTCATCCTGGACGTCGGCGATGATGACCCTGGCCCCGTTCCTGACGAACTCGGCGGCCGTCGCCTTCCCGATGCCGCTCGCGCCACCGGTGATCACCGCTACCTTTCCAGCAAACCTGCGTACAGACCAATTCGACCAACAAGGTAAGGTGCAGCGTCTAAAACTGCAAATTAAAGAAGGCACGAGAAGAGACGGAGAGAAGTGAACCGAACCGAGTCGAACCTCTGAGAGTCGGCGGCCAAGGAGGAGAAGAAGCCGCCATTGACGACGAAGCCCGACGAGGCTGGTCTGAGAACGCGTTGCAGGCCTCTAAACATCCTGCTGCCTCTTCAATTCCTTCCTAGCTCGTTGGCCACAGGATCGGAGCAGCTAAGCTGATCTTTGTTTTGTGCAGCGAGGCTTCAATTCGGCCTGCCTTCCCATTTTATTTCGGCGACTACCGCGTGCACCACGTGCTCTCGGCAGCTATGACTCATCATGGGCCATGGATCGAAGTCCAGGACCGCCCCATGCATGTGCAAGACGTGCGACCGTGGCCCCAGTCATGTGCAAGACGTGCGACCGTACAGGGTCTCCCATTCGTGGGGGCCTCAAAAATTACGGTTCCGATTATATAGATCGGTCGGCAACGTTGCGTCTCTTTTAAGTGGCGTTACAAAATCCATCTAGCCTGTCTCCTCATCTAAACGTCTCCATCTCGTCAATCAAGCAAGCCGACGCCGAGTGACTGATTTTCCATCTATACAGTGGAGGCTACCAAAAATTGAATATATACCATTCTTGATTTATCGTAATATTATGTACATGCTATTATTGTTTTATTTATCTAAGCTGGTAGAACTTATTTTAGAGTTTGGAACCAGAACCTGGATTTTAAGCCCTGAGTCGAGGTCGTCGGGCTTGTGGTAGGCTGGGCGCCACGCCGCCCGGCTCTACGGATGCCATATTGCCACGTCGGCATTGTGCACTGTGGGCGCGGCGTGGCTGGTCACCGGAGTCTGGAGGTTTTTATATATTCAGACTAAGGAGGCAGCGAGTCTAGTAAGGAGTTGGTAAAACATTTATCCGCTCGTGAGCATACTAACGGTATTAACTTTTATCCGCCCGCGAGTATACCCATGGTTCCTTATGCCCAATGGGTATCTGGTAGGTAGGGATGAAAACGGATCGGATACGAACGGATATCACTCATATTATATTTGTTTTCATATTTCTGTTCGGATTCGGATTCGGACACGGATAACGTTCGGATACATATACGAATACGGATTGACTCGGTTACGGATACGAATAATGAGTATCGAATACGGTATGAATCGGATTCGGAGAAGGTCGGATACAAATATCTATTCGGATATTGAGTAAAAGCAACATATATATATATCATACGTGCGCAAACCATTACACCACTCTATGAGTCCATAATCCATCTAGATTAAGCCGAAAGACTAAAGAGTAAAGCAACAAATAAGATAAAGATACAGATATATCATACATCAAACATCATATAAGCACCAATATTCGCGGCATGAGTAGAAATAGCCAAGCACATTGCTTCATGGGTCTCATGGAGTCATGGTCATGGATTCAAGATCTACAATCCTTATATAGGCCATTTTTTCATTTTGAGAAAGTTTGAACAAAATGTAGTTCAAATTTCACAAGTGTGTGACATAGTTTTAGAAAGTCTGTATGAGATTTAAGAATTTGTGACTAGTGTTTGATAAAACTTTCTCAAATGGGAAAATGAGCTATGTAACAATTGTAGATCTTGCTGAGATGATCAAACTTGGTATTCAGAGTTTTTTCATCTGAGGTCATTTAGTGTCTCATTTGAGCAAGTTTGACCAAGTCAAATTTGGTCAAATGAAAAACAACACTTTGACTCTAGTATTATGAACTCTAAATGACTTCAAATTGAAAAGTTTTGAATACCAAGTTTGTTCAACTCATCAAGATCTACAATTGTTGTTTTGGTCAACTTTCCATTTGAGATAGTTTGGACGGTTCAAATTTGTGATTTTTAAATTTCGATGCTTACAAACTAGTTTTCTGAACCCTAGATTGTCTCAAATTGAAAAGTTTTGAATATCAAGTTTGTTCAGCTCATCAAGATATACAATCCTTATATAGGCTATTTTTTCATTTGAGAAAGTTTGAACAAAATGTAGTTCAAATTTCACAAGTGTGTGACATAGTTTCAGAAAGTTTATATGAGATTCAAGAATTTGTGACTAGTGTTTGATAAAACTCTCAAATGGGAAAATGAGCTATGTAACAATTGTATATCTTGCTGAGATGATCAAACTTGGTATTCAGAGTTTTTTCATCTGAGGTCATTTAGTGTCTCATTTGAGCAAGTTTGACCAAGTCAAATTTGGTCAAATGAAAAAACAACACTTTGACTCTAGTATTATGAACTCTAAATGACTTCAAATTGAAAAGTTTTGAATACCAAGTTTGTTCAACTCATCAAGATCTACAATTGTTGTTTTGGTCAACTTTCCATTTGAGATAGTTTGAACGGTTCAAATTTGTGATTTTTAAATTTCGATGCTTACAAACTAGTTTTCGGAACCCTAGATTGTCTCAAATTGAAAAGTTTTGAATATCGTTCAGCTCATCAAGATCTACAATCCTTATATAGGCTATTTTTCATTTGAGAAAGGTTGAACAAAATGTAGTTCAAATTTCACAAGTGTGTAACATAGTTTTAGAAAGTCTATATGAGATTCAAGAATTTGTGACTAGTGTTTGATAAAAATTTCTCAAATGGGAAAATGAGCTATGTAACAATTGTATATCTTGCTGAGATGATCAAACTTGGTATTCAGAGTTTTTTCATCTGAGGTCATTTAGTGTCTCATTTGAGCAAGTTTGACCAAGTCAAATTTGGTCAAATGAAAAAACAACACTTTGACTCTAGTATTATGAACTCTAAATGACTTCAAATTGAAAAGTTTTGAATACTAAGTTTGTTCAAATCATCAAGATCTACAATTTTTGTTTTGGTCAACTTTCCATTTGAGATAGTTTGGACGGTTCAAATTTGTGATTTTTAAATTTCAACGTTTACAAACTAGTTTTCGGAACCCTAGATTGTCTCAAATTGAAAAGTTTTGAATACCAAATTTGTTCATCTCATCAAGATATACAATCCTTATATAGACTATTTTTTCATTTGAGAAAGTTTGAACAAAATATAGTTCAAATTTCACAAGTGTGTGACATAGTTTCAGAAAGTCTATATGAGATTCAAGAATTTATGACTAGTGTTTGATAAAACTTTCTCAAATGGGAAAATGAGCTATGTAACAATTGTAGATCTTGCTGAGATGATCAAACTTGGTATTCAGAGTTTTTTCATCTGAGGTCATTTAGTGTCTCATTTGAGTAAGTTTGACCAAGTCAAATTTGGTCAAATGAAAAAACAACACTTTGACTCTAGTACTATGAACTCTAAATGACTTCAAATTGAAAAGTTTTGAATACCAAGTTTGTTCAACTCATCAAGATCTACAATTGTTGTTTTGGTCAACTTTCCATTTGAGATAGTTTGGATGGTTCAAATTTGTGATTTTTAAATTTTGAATAAATATCCGGATAATATCCATTTTTAAATATCCGGATATATCCGATACTTATCCGGATTATCCGATATCCGCCGGATATCGATGATATTACATCCGTATTTGATATCCGCCTAAGATATCCGTTTTAGTATCCGTATCCGAAAAAAAAACGGATATCCGAGTAACTATCCAGATAAGTGTTCATATTTGTTCGGTCGAACGGACGGTCGAATAAATATCCGTACCGTTTTCATCCATACTGGTAGGTAATAAGTACCCATCGAGTATATTCAAGAGATCAAATAATAAAATCACAGTGATATGAAATAATTTTATAGTTAAACAACATACAAATATATCAATCTCACTTAAAGAAAGTTCACTGGACAATAACACAACTAACACAATAGTTAGTAAAAGATGATGTAAATGTCTTGCATATTGAGATAGAACTTGAGATGACGTGGATAGCTTGTATTAAAAGGTTGGAAGTTAGTTGCACCACATGACTATTAGTGGAAGATGACGTAGATGTCTTGCATGTTGAGATAGAATAAACTTGGCCAGATGGGCCAGGCACTGTGGACCGGCATGGGCACGGCAGTGGAAAGCACGGCCCAGGCACGGCACGTCCTGGCTCCCATCGTGCCCGTTCCTGGCACGGCCCGATCGAGTGTCGTGCCTAGGCCGTCATATTGGCTCGTAGTGCCGGCCCAGGCACAGCACAGTTAATGGGCCGGCACGATCTGGCCCGATACTTTCTAGCCATTGGATGACTCGAGGGGAATCCCAGCCATTAGATGAGAATATATAAGCAACCCTCCAACCTTAATCCCCAATTTCGTTCCCACGGCCTCCACCCCGACTCTGACCCCGACGTCCGTGGTCATCTCCTCCTGGCTCCGGTCCTCCCCGCGGCCTCCTCCCACGTCTGACTCCTCCTATCCTGCAACCTAACGCCCAGATCCTCCTCCAGTACTCCCCACGACGACTTGTCCTGCGACGACATTGGCGTGGGGAGCTGCACGACGACCTCGGTGTGGCGGCGCGGCGGCGCAACGGCCTCTGTGCTGACAAGTTGGAGAGTGGCCTCGATGTGCGACGCGACGGCCTCTGCGAAGAAGCGACGGCGCGATGGCCTCGCCGCGTCGGGCCAGGGGCGGCACGGGCTGCTGTGCCCAGTGGCACGGCACGGCACGACTATTAGCCTATAGTGTCGTGCCTAGGCCAAGATGCCGGCACGACTGCACTACGCGGCATAGCACGGCAGCACCTTCGTGCCCCGTCGTGCCGTGCCTGTCCGTGCCGGTGCCATGCCGTGCCTGGGTGGCCCGTTTGGCCATGTATAAGATAGAACTTGAGATGACGTGGATAGCTTGCATTAAAAGGTTGGAAGTTAGTGGCATGATATAACTATTAGTGGAAGATGATGCGGATGTCTTGCATGTTAAGATAGAACTTGAGATGACATGGATAGCTTGCATTAAGAGGTTGGAAGTTGGTGACATGACATGGCTATTAGTGGAAATTGATGTGGATGCCTTGCATGTTGAGATAGGACTTGAGATGACGTGGATAGCTTGCATTAAGAGGTTTGGAGTTAGTGACATGGCATGGCTATTAGTGAAAGATGATGAGGATGTCTTGCATGTTGAGATAGAACATGTAATGGGGATTAGCTTTATAAGAGATATACATAAGTTAATAACTCACGCAATCACTTTGTTCAGCCATACATAAAAATATCATCTTTATAGTTTGACATGCTATACATACGCTACAAATTACACGTTAAATGGGTCAATTGACATGATATACATGTGACATAGGCTGCATATATATGTGGATAAAATTTGATACAAGCACCCTACCCGCATCTTTGCGGATACCTGACCCTTGTGTACCCACGGGTGAGCTTTCATACCCGTGCCCACACCCATAGGGTACAAACCCTCGGGTACCCGCACCCGCGGGTAATATTAATTATCATCCTCATTTGGATAGCAACATACAAATACTTTGGTTAGGCCATGCTGTTTTTTTTTTCATATCCTATCATAACAAGTGCTACATTTCCAAATCGAGGGTCTATGCCCTTCGGCTGTGAGCTATGAAAAAGTGTTATGAGCAATGAAAAAACTGTTGTAAGCTAACTATGAAACCTACCCCTTCTCTCTCTCTCTCTCTCTCTCTCTCTTAAAAACAACTATAAATCATCTCTATATTTCCATTCATTTGGAAAAGCCGAAAGCAGGTCCAAGGCAGGGTCTAAGATTGACGTTCTGTTTTTTGACAGCAAAAACATTTCTCATAAGCTTAATCAAACACAACCATAATCTCTTTTGTTTACTCTAGTGTTTACCTTTCTTTCAATGATCTTTAATTTATGATCAATTACTATAGTACATTTTTTATATTGGTTAAATATATATAGTTATGTGTGCACAGAGTGTGATTTGCATTATACTTTTTTTAAGTTTACTGGGAGTATTGTACCTGCACGGTTCATGTGACATTTAAACAGACTTATTTGAGACTTTTTTTTTGTGCATGTCGGCGCGGCGTTGCATGATTAGGTTAGCCCACCAACCTATGCCCCCAGGAAAAATAAACGTGAAACAGCAAGCTCTAATAATTGTGTAGGTCCAGTAGATAGCATCCTGCACCTATCAGTGAATCGGGCGGCTCCTTTGGCCATGCATTCCAGATCCAGATAGCTAGCAAAATGATCTTACTGTCTAGTCACAGAACAAATTACTAATGCAGTTTATAGGTAGGTACAGTACTCCTGCAAAAGAGAGAACATCATACTTGCTTACCAATTATCTTAGAGGTGCATGCATCCTATGTTCCTTATGTAACAAACATTACCCAATCAAAAGACCATGCTGAGACGTGCTCAGAAAGTGCAAGATATGAGAAAGAAGAATGTCAGTACTCAATAATCAGTACATACCAGGGATCACGACCCATTGAGCAGTCCAATGACAGAAAATTCCACCTTCAGCATCTGTATGCAATCAGGGAAGATTACATATAATCATATCCCAATGAAGCCTCTTCCTTTTAAAATTACATTTGGAAATATGTATAATGATTAAGAGGAAAAATAAGTTTGGGTTCATCATTCAAAATATAGGAAATCTCAGAGCACCCAAAACTTCCATGCTCTTGATATGCACACATCACTGCTTCTCCTAGGAACCTCTACTTAAAAGTTTCGCTTTGCATTTCTTCTTTAACCAGTACAGAACAAATAATCAAACATGCACTGTCTTAGACTGCTTGACTAGTATATCAGACTTTTGCCAGACAGGAGCGAGCAAGCAGCATACTTTGACAATAATAGCAATGGCAGACAGCTTACGTAGCTGCAGTGCACTACAGCAAAATAACAAACAACAGCATATACGGTACAGTTGCAGCTCAAATGAAAGGATAGTCCTCAACACATCTCAGCTTAATTCTGCACGAATCATACTACTCATTTGAAGCTTAAAAGTAACAAAATCAGGTGTATGTACCACAATAAACGGAACCAAGCTCCTCACATAGCTCATAGAGGAAGACGCCAAAGAAGAAATATGACTTTTCATTCCATTGAGCCACTTTGAAAAGACATTTTTAGTATGATTGAAAACAAAAATTAAAACCAATAAAATAAATCCCTGTGTTATTGTGTATTGCTCTAAAAACCTCATGTGCTCATTGGTCAGCACCCAAAAGCTGGAAGATTCTCCAGTTTGCAGAAAGATGATAAGAGAGTAGGGCTACACTTCATTTGCCCTGCGTTCTCCTGATCCAATTCAAAACGTGAGAGCAGTCATGATCTCCAAGGAACACCCTGTTCTCTGAGCGATAGGTTTTGAGATCACGACTTTCGAGCATGCAACTTTCCCTTTTCATTTCAAGTGATTCAGGGACCATCCTTGGACTGCAGCCATGGTAAGCATCACAGATAAATTGAACAATCGCCTCAAATGGTTGTGAGGCATTGACCCACTGGTATATCTTCTCATTGCGGAACCATGTAATTTGCCGCCTTGCGAAGTTCCTAGATGTACTTTTAAACTTGGCCAGAAATTCGAGGAACTCCTGTGTGGTGCTTTCACCTCCATTCTGCCTACAGTGCAGCAGGTACTCCATGGCTTGCTTGTAACCAATGGCACGAGTTGCAGAGTTGACATGTGGATGCAAACCGATATCAAGCAGCCACGAGGCTTCTGAAAGTAAGCCACCTGTGTCAGCTAGCATTTCTTCACACCTCAAATCAATTCATCGGTACAGCTCCAAGCGTGGGCATGCAAGGAAAATACAGAAGAAGTCATAATCCATCTCCATGGCTTCACAGTTCCCTCCAGCAGAGACCTTGGTGCCATGCTGTTCACAAAACGTATCGTATGGTAAGGTGAAGGCAAAGGGAGGAGAACCTGATGATCTAATAACCTCAAGGCTGCGGCTCAACCTCTTCCAGTTATTCACAGACAAGTCCCGAGCTTTGGGGTCACCAGCCCGGACCACTAGCTCTACTGCTTGCTCCCACTGGCCACTCTCCCGAAAACTGACGAGCTCAGACCACACAGCCGAAGTGATGTCCATGGATGACTGTGGAACATTTGGCTTGCCATACATGTACCACCGTAAGTAGAGCCCAGTCCCTCCTGCAACAACCGGCACTCGCCCTCTGTCAAGGACATCCCGTGTTACTCTCCGGGCATCGCGAAAGAAGGCTCCAGCCGAGTAATCATCTGACGCGTGCAGTATGTCGATCAAGTGATGTGGCACCATGCCCATCTCCGTCGCGGACGGTTTGGCGGAACCAACGTCAAGGGCACGGTAGACTTGCACGGAGTCCGCACTGATGATCTCTCCTCCGAGCCTCCTGGCCACCTCCAACGCGAGCCTGCTCTTCCCAGCACCAGTAGGTCCGGAGATGACAATGACCGTATTCTTCTTCCTTTGATGATTCAGCGCCAGAGGGGCGGTCGCCGCCGCGACGATCTTCTTTGCGGAGCGGAAAGAGGAGGGCGATTTGTGCTGCGAACACAGGACAGGCCAGGTTGTCCAGACGGCACGCCGCGCGGCTCCAAGCTGTGGCCTCATTTCACAGCACATGACAGGAAACGAGAGTGCCTGCCAAAGATGTAGAGGGAATTAATTTCAGTCCACAACATGGTTCGAGGTGAAAATCGCAGCTGTGTACTGGTACCCAGGGCGCTGTTACGCTCTGGACAGGACAATTGCTCAAACAGTGGGTAGCAGATGGCTAGGCATTTCATCAAACACATACAGGACGCAACCAGAGGGTCAAATCGAATGGCACCTGTGCGGATTGTGGAGTGGCAGGCCTGTCTGGGCATCATGAGCGCTGAGGGCCGAATGGGCGTCTATGGGGACTGTGGAGCGGAGGAGTGCTAGTGGAGGCAACGGCGAGCTCCGACGCACACAGTGCGACCCGGCAAAGGTTGCTCTCGTGGAAACACGGGCAGCTGGTCAACCAGAATCGAGCTGGTAATTAGCCAACTCAGGTGGGTTTTGTCAGCAAGCTGCAACTCTCACCTCCACCTCTCCTCCGTCGGCCGTGCGTCCGCCCAGGCAACGCTCCCCACCGCCGTCCGCCGGTCACTGCGCCTGGTGCTGCTGCTGGGCGGAGGGAAGGTCTCGCAGGCTGCATTGGATTCGGAGCCTCGGAGGACATCCCACGGGCCCATTGTTTAAGATCATCCCACGTCCACCAAAACTGGCCTGAAGAAGAAAACGGCCGATCAGGCCCATTCTGGTGCCCGATGATGCAGCCCACCTACCATTGTTCCGATCAACTCGGAACAGCAAATGCCTCTCCAAAAAAAGAAAAGAAAAGAAAGAAACGGAAAAAAAACTCGAACAGCAAGTAAATTATCTGGACTACGACGGCCATCGTGTCGCGCCCAACTTTTTTTTATCCAAAAAAGTATATACACATACACTTTACGAGTGCAAGATCAGAAGGAGAAGGCACGCTTTCACCCTCTCTTAGTCTTATATCTTACAGACATGACAAATAGAGACAGATCCTCAAACTTCTTGGACAAACATTTAATCCTTTTAAAGACAAATTAATCGGAAGCAGTAATAATAATGGATGACGAGAGATTAAGATGTTAGTTGATTTCTACCAATAGGCCCAACGGTCTTTTGGGCTCTTGTCTCTGCTCCCTGATCGGGGGAGCCCAAACCTAATACGATTGGTAGGCCCCTGTCGCACAGTACATATAAAAGGTAAGGTGGGGATTAGGCCTCGGGCTACGAGGTTCAACGGAGCCGTCGCCATCCCACCCACACTAAATCTAAACCGATCAAAGTAGTGCTGCCAGCGACGGGAAGCCCATCCACCACACCGCCGTTTCTTCTGCAGGGTCACCACGGTCTTCACTAGCGCCACTGGACTTCATCTCCACCGCGCTGGAGGCCTACTACACCGCGGCACCGACGTCCGCGAGGCTATAGTCAAGGTGTGCAGAGGAACCCAAAGCAGAGGTCTACCCGGTTCTATGGTTACATAGAGAGGTAATCTACGATCCTAACATTGGTATCAGAGACAGGTTGCCGGTGTGTAACCCTAACCCTAATCGAGTAAAAGAAATAGAAAAGGGACCGGGGGTGGCGGACGTCACTGGAACCTCGGTCACCACTGCCACCGCGCGGGGAAAAGTGCCGGTGCGGCAAGAAAAGAAAAGAGTTCCTTACGGATCTGAACAGAGAAGGGGTTTACTAACCCTAAACCCATAAAAGCCTTCAACGGGAAGAGAAACAGTAGAAAGAAAAAGAAGAGTGGGTTCGGATTTGGCTGAACCCTAAAACCTACCCCAATCGGTTAAATCCGTAGAAAGAAGCATATTCAAAAAGAAAAGAAAGAAGATTCAAAAGCAAATCAGAGAAGGGGAAGGTCGGATTCCGAACCCTAACCCTAGAACAAACCCCAATCCTCATCACCGGTTCGGATAAGAGAAAAGAAATCCAAATCGGAGAAGGGGAAAAGAGGAACGGACCTACCTCGCCGTGCGTCGGGATGGCCCTTCGCTGGCGCGGGAGAAGAAGGGTCGAGCCGGGGGGTAGCTGCTCGCCGGGCTCGGCCAAGGGGGCGCCGCGGCCAGGCCGCTTGACGACGGCGTGCTCACCCGTTGGGGAGCACGCGTGCCGGCGACGGCGCCATGGATGCCTCACTCCACCGCCGTAGTTGCTCGGTCGCCGCTCGGTGCGCGCTGCGCTGAGAAAGGAGAGAGCGGCAAAGAGAATGCAAAGAGAGAGAGCAACGAAAGGAATGAAGCTAGGGTTTTTGGCCGACGCGGTCGGTCGGTCCTTTTGTTCGAGCGAGATGGGCGGGCGACCGTCGGTCGCGATCCGACGGCGGATCGTGATCGGGCCAGCGAAACGGCCCAGGCGGGCGCGCGCGGTCGCGCAGCTTTGGCGGCCCAGGCCCAAGTTGCGGCCTCTGAGCCCCAGTGCGCGCGTCAGGGAGATGGGCCGGGCCATTTTGCCGGCTGGGCTGAATGCACAGTAAGAAATGATTCAATTTTTTCGTTTTTTCCTTTTCCAGCAAATATTTATTTCTGGAAAATGAAAAATAGCTCAAAAAATAGAAAAAGTAATTTTTCTCTGTGGGTAAAATTCATGAAATGAGTAAAAGTTTTTCCGCTGCTAAAGAAAATGTTTATTCTCTAGTTATTTGAACCAATGTGACATTTAATTGGAAAAAAAGAGTTTTGACATGATTATGATGTTGTTATTTTCTGACCAACGTTGTTAATAACAATATCATAATTTTAATGATTTATGCATTAATTCTACTTCTGTCCAACGGTGATGTGGAATTAGTGTATAAGAACAGTTGTAAAATTTTAATGATTTATGCATTAATTCTATTTCTGCCCAACGGTGATGTAGAATTAGTGTGTAAGAACAATTGTGAATTTTAATGATTTTATACATTAATTCTATTTCTGCCTAACGGTGATATAGAATTAGTGTATAGGAACAGTTGTATGTTTTGATTTTGAACAACGTTGGAATCAAGGCTTGCAAATGGTGTTATTTTTATGTTAAGAAAAGGTTTGACCTGTTTTTTATCTTGGCTGAGGTGGACTGGGTAGTCACCTCACCGTGTCCCACTAAGTATGTGGTACCGGTGAGGTAGACAAAAAAGAATGATGCCGATTAGGCAACTAAAGAAAGGGATTTTGAATCCCAAAAAATATCCTATGACTTTGAGCATAGAAAGTAGGTCACTGCCAACAAGAAATGTTTGGTTGTGATAAAGAACACGATTGAGTCTGTAATTGTGGGCTCAATCCCAGAGTGTGACACGGTCACCGAATACCTCGATAGAATAAAGAGTCAGATCACTGGCTCTTCAAAGACATGCTATCTAGTTGATAAAGCAGCTGATCACAGAGTGTTAATCTAGAAATGGTGGCATAAGAGAGCTCACGATGCGTCGTCGAAATAATGGCACTGTCGTTTAGGCTATATTTCGAGGGGAAGAATAGAAAGACAAGTTAAGAATGGTATTCTTCCTCCATTAGAGCTCTCAGATTTAGAACAATGCAGAGAATGCATAAAAGGAAAGTATGTGAAGAAAATAAAGAAAGAGCGAAGCGCAGGAATTTTATAGATTATTCACACAGATATTTGTGGTCATTTTCCTATAAAGAGTGTGGATGGTTATGATTCGTTCATAACATTCACAAATGATTACTCCTATTATGGCTACATTTATCCAATCAAAGAAAGAACATAAGTATTAGATAAATTTAAGATATTAAATATTAAGATAGTCAGATCTGACCGTGGGGGAGTACTACGGTCGGCATACCCTAAAAGAATGACATAGTAGCTCAGTATTCTACACCGGGCGAACCTCAACAGAATAGAGTAGCTAAAAGAATCAATCGTACCCTGATGGATATGGTGGACAGTATGATAAGTTACTCCACCTTACAGTTGAGCATGTGAATAGAGACGTTAAAAACCGACATTTATATTCTCAATAGAGTACAAAGTAAGTCGGTGCCCAAAATACCGTATGAGTTGTGGACATGAAGAGTACCCTCACTAAACACTTAAGTGTGTGGAGGAGCCCTGCTGAGGCTAAAGTATTTAACCCAAATATTGGGAAGTTAGATACTAAAATAGTAAGTTGTCATTTGTTTGGCTACCCAGAAAAATCAAAAAGTTTTCATTTTCTATTGTCCAGAGAGACATACAAAGTTTGTGGAAACGAGACACACTGTCTTCCTAGAGGATAAATTGATGAGGGGGAGCATGGTATCTCAAGAAATTGACCTTGAAATGAAGCGGGTGTATGCGCCCACTCCAATGATTCATGAGCCATTTTCTCACTACCTGCTGTCGCTGCACCGACAGTGCAAGACACTATGGTGCCAGCACCTGTTGTTATTCCACCTGTGGCAATAATGAATAACGATGAGGAACCTGTTTTTCAGGATCCTATAGAACCTATTGCCACACATGAGGGGGAGCAACAACAACCTCAAACAGAACATGTGCCAAATGTGAAGGCCCCTAAAAGGTCTCAAAGAGTTAGAAAATCAGTTATTTCTGCTGATTATGAAGTGTACAACATTGAGGAATTTCAAATGAAGGATGATCCCACCTCATTTGAAGAAGCCACGAAAAATGATCATGCATCAAAGTGGCTTGAGACCATGGAAGATGAAATGAAATCTGTGAATGCCAATAAAGTTTAGGATTTGGAGATAATTTCTAAAGGAGTCAAAACAGTAGACTATAAATGGGTCTACAAAACAAAACTTGACTCTCAAGGGAATATAGAGAGATATAAAGCGAGACTTATGGCAAAAGGCTTTACGCAAAGAGAAGTGATTGATTACAATGAGACCTTTTCTCTAGTCTCATGTAAGGATTTTCTTCAGAATCATAATGGCATTAGTGGCACATTACGATTTAGAGTTACATCAGATGTATGTAAAGACGGCATTTCTCAACGAGGACTTGGAGGAAAATATTTACATGGCACAACCGAAAGGTTTTGTCATGGAAGAAAAAGAACGAATGAGATGCCGCCTAAAGAAATTCATTTATGGATTAAAACAAGC